CATTTAACAAAGATTTCACCCCTTCTCACAGATTATTTAGCCAGCCAGTCTAAATAACAGCATTTGCCAAAATTACAAGCTGTTTATGAGCATTTTTCTATTTATTTATTATTTATATTCTTTTTAAAGATAATTAATACAATAAATGTTGTGTACAAATTTTATTTCCTTCTGACAGGGAAGGATATATACTCAGTTACATTCTTCATTGTTTCCATCTAATAAGTAATGAGTTATTGCTAAGTGTAAATAGCATTCTTCATTTCTATTTTTTTTTCTGCTGTGAAAAGCAGAGTAGAGCAGAGTAGTAACACAGTTAAGTTCCCTGCTGCTACTGACTCCAGCTCACTTTAGTAGTTACTGCAATGCTTTGTCTCTGCTGCTGAGTTGGGGAGAATGAAGGGCTTGACCTAATTTTGGAGTGGTCACCGTGCTGAGGAAGATCAGTCTGGCACAGGAGTTCCTCTGCAAATTAAGCAGGAAAAGCAGATAATGTTTTAAGGGCATATTGATTTATTATTGTCTCCTGGGTACAAATTCACATGTTGATACATTGATGCCTCATTAGATCCAAATTGCTGTTGTTTCCCAAGCTCCTCAAGAGAATATTCCACCTTGTTGATGTTGTGTCTTGGATGTACATTATTCAGGGAAATAATATCTGCAGGCTCTGTAACTTGAACTTGTTTATGGTGGCTTCCAGGCTGGGAATATGTTTATCTTTTTGTAACAGAGGGTAGTGACATGCAGAGCACATTTGTTCAGACTCCATTCAGTACAAAAAGAGGGGAGAGACCCTCTCAGGGATCAAATTCTCTCTTGTACCTCTACTGAAATCAAAATTGACAGAAGTAACTCTTGAGCTAGAGTAGAACATGACAAAAATACAGACAGATCTGCCTTTCTGTGACGTTATTGGTATCACACAGCCTTTTCTGTTTCTGCCATGAGTTAAGGAATGCAGTCTGAATCCACACTGTCTGTCAGCCCTCTTCTACATCCATTCCTTTTTTTTTTTCCTTTCCTCTCTATCTTTTCCTCTGAGTATATTCCCATACAGTCCAGCTATTCTGGGTATCCAATTTGCTTGTGAAGTGCTTTTTATATCTGACTGCTGTGTAATGCCTGGAAACCCTGGGTGGTTTCTATGGACAAAGCCCTGCCCCATGTTGTAAGTTAAAGTCCATCTAGCAGGCATCATACAAGGACTTTTATCTGGAGGAGGGGAATGGATTCACGCTGCTGCAGTTTTCCATTAGTGTTCTACTGTACACTGCATGTTTTTGCAATTCCTTTTCAATTTTTGTTTCTGCTAGTCAGTAATTGACATTTGTTTTCTCACTGTCATGACCTCAGGCCCAGAGGCTTAACTCACGTTGCACTCAGTGCCGTCACTGGCAGGAAAAATCCTCTTGCTTAAAATGGGTAAACATGGTTGAACAAAATGTGTAGGCCCTGTTAAACCTGAATGGAACACAAGTTAGAGCTGCCTCAGTAACTGTAACTTGTGTATGTTGGGCCAGTGAAGATGGAGAGCTCTGATTTTTGCCTGAGTCTGGTCTGTTACACCTCCCCTTGTGCTTACCCCGGTGTAGGTTTGTTTCTTCCTTTGTGTATTTGGTCAAACAACAGCGTGTGTCCAGTTTACAGAGCCGAGCTGGAACAGCTCAGGAAGCTGTTTGTCCTCTCTGCCTGGAACTCTGCTCAAAAACTCCTGCTCAAAAAACCCTAGAGCAATGGCTGTTAACTTATGTGACACTCCAAGGCAACGCAGGTTGGAGCCTGGGACTGTACTGTAGTGTGTAGAAATAACAGAGAAATATGAAAGAGCAGACTTTACTTCCTTGGATTAACTGTTCTGATATCTTGTATTTATTTAGTTGGAAATTAATCTGTGATGTTTTAATGGGTTTCACTGCGAAGTTTACAGTATGCCCACTTGCTATTTCATATTCTGCAGTGAATAATTCATTTTGCTCAACTGATAGTGAAGGCTTTCGGTTGTAATTGCTGGAGTCTTTGAAATATGAAACTGAATTCCTACAATGAAATCGTCATAGGCTGAGTAACTTAGGAAGTTTGTTTAGGTAAGCTGTCAGCTACAGAATCTGTTTGAAAAGATACTTTTGTTCACTTGTTTACCTATTGGGTTGATCTTCAAATGAGATTTTATAGATTCATAATTTAGAAATGCATTTATAATCTGTAGTGTGTGTGCTAGCATTCATTCAGCATAGAACACCCAAGAAAAACAGATATTTTCCAGATACAAACTGTAATTTTTATTTCTCTCAGCCAATGCTTCTAGTGGCATGTTTTTAGAATATCCCAGTTCTGCTTATTAGTCTCAGTCTAGTGTTTGTATCATATCTTGATTATAATTTTAAAATAAATTAAAATTTGTCTCCTGAAGATTCATTTCTATGAATTTTTCATAGTACAAGTCAATCACATAAATCTGGTGCCAAAATGCAAAGTGATATGAGAATACCATCAAAATAAGCATGTGTAAACAATTGAATGCTTTCCAACACTTGCCCAGCTGTATTTTACAAATAATATTTGAATCCATTTACGCTAATTTTGTCTGCTAGCTGAATCTAATTTAATACAATAACTTAATATTCTTCCCATATTTGTTCAGGTCTTTAGATTTCAAGGGATTTGTGAGAAATGTGTATTTAACTCAGACTAATACAGTAATGGTAAATTATTATTCTGTTTTCAGTATTTGTCTACAAATTTGATTTCTACAGTGACTAGCATGAGAATATCAATGAAAACTAGTAAAACAAATTGAGGGGAAAAACCCAGAAATTATTGGTCTACTATTATTATTCTTTTCTGTAAGCTTCTCAAGTAAATCACTAGAATCATGTCTACCCAAGCCAAATGGTGGCATTTGCACATGCCAGGAATTTATGCAAAGTCTCTTGATTCTTCCAGGGTACAGACAAAATAATTGGAAAAAATGTTTTGTATTTTGCTGCTGGGACTGGTTGACCCTCCTGGTGATGGCCCAATACCCATTAATTGATTATTTTGATGCAAATTTAAGTCTCCAGAAGACATAATAGGTATGAAGAACTATGTACATCCAGTTCCATCTCACAGATGTTTCTTTTGGCATTTTAGCAGTTTCCTGGGTTCAGTGTCCATATGCAGAGGAAAGACCAATTCCAGCACTGTGTTCTTAATTCAGGTGTTATCTTAATGTGGCATTAAGAAAAAAAAAAATTAGGTAGGGTGTTTGAGATTCAGAATGGCTGCTAGTTTTAGTTTCTTTTATTCACACATTACTACTTCCCTTCTTTTGACAGATATTAGCTAAAAAATGCATTAAGGAAAATGTAATTCAGTTTCTGTATTTGGCTCTTATATTTTCATCCTAGAAAACAAACTATAAAGGGCAGAAATCTTTCTCAGTCTTTATTGAACAGTTTTATGTAAAACTGTCAGTTCTGAGTATACAGGTTGACTTGAAGAGCTGTCATATGACAGATTTCTCTGAATGCATTTGCTCTTTTCAGGTACACATCAAATGGTTTCCATGTAGTAACTGCTCCTTGGAGAATGGAAATTTTTTTCTCAAATTGATCTTGCTGTTTTCTTCCATCTCTTTTTTTTTTTTTTTCTTCCCTAAGTGCATATATGTCTATTTGCTATCTTAACTCACCAATACAAATGGAATTCCATTTAGAATTTTGGTTGCATCAGTTGTCACTGAGAAGTGAAACTGCAGGAACAGCTGTCCGTTTGCTTAGGTTAGCTCAGCTGAATTAAGAATTTTCTCACAAGTTGAATTTTTTAAAATGAGGTATTTATTTCCCTAAAAGAGATTATAATAGCTTTTAAAACAGCACTGGAAACTGTTCCATGTCAATCATTTTGACTACATGAAACGTGAGAGGTCCAACTGCTGGTGCTTCACCATTGCATTTGCTTTTGATTCGTAAGAATGTTTAAAATAGTCCTGTGCTGTAGAATTAATGCATTTTCCTCTTATCTTCCACATGACAAATTTTGATCTATAAATATTTCTGTGTTAAAAACAGTGAAACATTGAAGTGTACTGTGTAAAGCTGTGGATTACCAGGGATGGTTTTCCCAGCTTGCCTGATTGCTTCTGCTGTGTGCAGCTGAGGGAGACCCCTCGGAGCAGTAATTGACTGCCTTGACTGATTCTCTTGTTATTCCTTTATCCTGAATCTCGGGATAAACAGTTAAGTGGATGGTGATTACATCATGCATTAAAATGTGTGCCATTTTACAGTAGAATAAACAGCCACAGAAAAATATGATGAAAGTGCTCCAGGTAAAAAAATACCAGAAGCTGTTTATTCCAGCCTTTCTGGTTTAATTCACAGAGCCACAAATGATATATTGTGGAATTCTTTTTTCATTTTGTCCACAACAGTGTTCTATAGCAGGAACCACCTCATCTCTTGATTCTTCTTTTTTATTTGAAACTGAGTCTGCTGATGTTTTCTCACATCAAATCTTGTTAACAGTCTGTGCCTATTGTTGACACTTTGGCTACATTGCAGAAATACAATTTGGAATCTGTAATCTTAGAGGAGTGTTCTTAACTCTCTAAAGACTCTGCATAACATCCCTAAATGTCTAACTATTCTTATGACAAATCTAATTTTTAGTATTCAAGGAAGAACTTTGGGGATTTTGAAAGACCTTATAATCTCATCTAAATACCTCACAAATATCTCCTGGAAAGAACTTGGTTTGCCTGCACGTTTTTAGAAGGCTGACATCAACATACAAACCGTGTCCTCCCTTCACTTAGTTACTTTTTCCCTAAGCAAAGCTGAAAACTCCAACCTGTGTAATGAGAAACACTTGTGACCAAAACAATGACAAATGTGGAGCATTACACAACATTTTTTTTATGTGTGTGTGTATATATATGTACACCTACCTAATTAATTGTGAGTTTTAGGACACTGACATACCAAATTTTACACTTATAAAACAGCCAGATTCCAGACAATGCAAACCATACTTTAATATATTATAAAGCTATATAGTCAGCCCACTCCATGGGCTTCACATGCACATAAAACCAATAGTTACATAAATAATATCAAATGACAAAACTAGAAAGCAGTTTCTGCATACTTTATTTTACAATTCCTCACTAAATATATTTACAGGACACAGAGTTTGCTTTAGTGCAATACATAGTAATGTTGCATAAGTACAAACTGTTGAACTTTTCTAAAAAAAATTAAAGAAATAAAGCACTTAACTGATGTTACAGCTAAGTATGTAAAGCAACGTCAATAACTCTGAGTGAAAATGCTAACAGCATCTTTTCTTCTCATAAACAATTTCTAGAAACAAACCACAAACCAGCATTACATATTCCAAACTACTACCCCTTGTACAGTACCATATCATTTAAAAAAATCACTTTTTTAAAGCACATATACTGTACTGTACAGCAACCTGTTTCTACAGATACTGACTTACTCTTTTAATACAAATATGATATTACCGTGGCAGTTTTGAAGAACAAAGTTATCTCAAGATATCAAACATCAGTAACAAACTCTGATAAGCACAGCTTCTTGAGAACCTGCTTTAACAGCATTTCTTCACAGTGATATTTATGAAAGGTTGGAAAAAGAGATTAGCATAAAATATTTCCATCCTTTTTCAGTTTTTATGCAAAAATCATTACTTTATATTGGTAATTATAAAATTACAAACACTTTCTATAAGTAACTGCATCTGTAGTAATGATAGAAAAAGTCATCAGTAAGACACCTAAAATGAGGCTTGCATAACATGAGAGTTTGAAGAAAACTAGGTACACCTCATTTTTAAAATAAGAGTAAGGGATGTAACTTAATTTAGAATAAGCAACACAGTTTAACAGAGATAACCTATTATCAATTAAAAAAGCTACTTATTTATTAATAAATGTTAAAAAACAATAAAATTGTGATGAGGTGAAATCAACATTTAAAAAGAGATGATGAAACACTTACTCTTAATCTTAGTTTTGGCACTTCATTGGAACAATTACTTTACCAAAGACCAAAATATGTATAAAAGATATACAGCTCCTTGACATACCTTGCAAATATAGTACATAAGTACTGGCAAACACTGAAAACATAGTTAGTTAAACATTCCCACAGATTTGCACATGCATGCACTAGTCAGACAACAGCGTTGTATTTATGTTCTTGGCGGTGACAATCTTGCATTATTTGGGTATTTTAGGCCGTTTCTTCAGCAGATCTCGTCTCTGTTTTAAGTCTTACAAATTCTTTAGCGACTTCATCATTGTTCCTTTGAGAAAGTATCCTAAGGATTGTTAAGCCAGTCTCATCCACGGCGAGGCTCCTGAGCAGGGGGTACCAGGAGGCGCAGCTGCCCCTGTCGGCGATGCCCTGCAGCTGGATCACGGTCATGCCGAGGACGCGATCCTCCCGGGCGAAGCAGTAATCCTTCACTGACAGGTGCAGCTCGTAGGCTCCTGGCTTATCTTCGTTACTCAGCAGGCTGTGTGGATTAACAATGTGAATTTAGAACAAGGAGCGCAGCTTAATTCCCCCAAGGAATTAATTCACTCTAGAAATCTTGGAAAAATTAAAGTGAGAGTGGTAGTTTAAGTTTTGTAGTCCCATTTTGTTACAACAGATTATCTAATTTTAAACTTTCTATGCAGGTAAACCTTCAGATGCATTGGTGATGGAGCTTCTGTTCTCAGTAGCCTGAACAGAAACAGAATTCCTTCAATAGCTGGAACAGCAGTTACCTTTCCCTGGAAAGTACATTAAATGTTCAGCTGGCTCCCCAGCTGTCAGCACCATGACTTTAAATCAGCTTCAAAATATACAGGAAATCCCTGGCAGCAGGCATCAAAAGGGGCTTTGTGGTGAGACACAGACAGTAAAGTAATTTCCAGTCAGGGTTGGAGAATAAGGGAAGGAACATAAATTGGTTTCAGAAAAGGATGGAGAAATACTGACTTTAAAACTCCGGGTTAGGTGAAGTTTCTTACTCATTTGAGGTTTAAATGGTAACAGCATTAGATAAACAATGCTATTAACACATGAAACACCCCATACACATTTGGATAGCTCTACAGGCATGAAGGCCAGATATCTAGAAATAATAATTAATGCTTCTTTCCAAACAAATACCTAGGCCAGGAGATTCCTAGGGATAGAAATAGTCACTCCTCTGCAGGGAAATTAATTGCACATTTTAACCAGGTTTTGTACGACTCAAAGCTTGGTAATTGCCATTCATCTTCATATACAACAAAGATACAAATTAGTAAACAGTTTTGAAATGGTGTCTATATATCTATGTTAGGATGGCTTTTTTTTGTTGTTAACGGTTTAAAGGCAAAAATATTTTAGGAAAATTTTCAAAAAATATGCAATTTCCAGACATAAAAGACTTACAATTGGAAAGTTTCATTGTACTTTGGTGACCAGGTGTTGCTCTTTGTCTTGGTTCCATGTTTTCTTTTCTTGTCACTTAATTTAGGACCCAATATGCAAACTTCCACAAAGGGCCGGAACATAGCTGTTGTTTGCCAATTTAGGTTATTAATTGCTACAACTATAAAGAGATAAAAGAACTGAAGTTAAATAAAATACCATTGAAAGAGTTCCAATTAATTACCCCTTATGACTTTGTATAGCCAATGAAAAGTGACCTGAGAGCTTTCCTGTACCAACATATCAATACCTGGTAAGCTTAGGAGGAGCTTTGCCCCTTCCCTGCCCAGTAATGACGTCTTAGATTACTTTTAGGTTCACAAGTATCAAATATAAATATGTGTTTCACAAATCCTTTACATTTGCAGCTTCTTTTTGTCTGCTACCTTCACTGCAATTAAAAAAAATCAGCTTATACTAATCTGAATGATCCTGTGCTTCTGAAATTCAGGTTGTGCAGAACAAATGCATTTTGTTAAAAATGCAGCTTCTTAAGGCTCGGTGCAGTCATTCACCACTCAGCTTTGTTATAGATTTTCTGAAAGTTAAATTATGTACCAGTAATTGAGAAGTATAATTTGACACTTTTTAATTTATAACTCTAGAACTTAGTATAATAACTTTAAATTATCTATATAGAGAAGCATAGACAGTACTTACTTGCCTGTCTTCTGCTGAACTTCTGCTGATATTGAGCAAGGAAAAAGTGCACTCTAATCACTGAAGTGTATTTAAAGCTTCTCAAGTACTATAATACTTATCATTTTTTACTTTAGTATTGGTATGTTTGACTTAGGATATAGTGCTAGGAGGTTTGGTCTTTATTGCTGCTTTCTTTTTAAAGTTGATTGTTTGAAACTTACCTTTCACAGTGACTTTGTGCTCACCAGTTCCAGGATGGGTAGAGATATCCACCTGTACAGATATCTCACCCACTGAATTATTAGCAGTTTGACCTGAAACAAGAATTACTGGTTAGCACATCTGGCTTTTGGATGCATCAAGAGAAACAGACAGTCAAAGGTGAGCAGTAATTTCCTTTAGAAACACTTAATTTCTGTTGTGTTCCACATTTAAGTGGGAATCAGTTACAGATGCATAAATGCCACAAAAGAACTGGGTAATTGCAAATGGAAAGTGCCTTAGTGAAATAAAAAATCCTGGTCATCTGGAACTTTCCATTCTTGTCATTAGGGGTGTTTGCATCTTGAAATGAAGAAGTTGGGGGGTTTGTCAAGCTTTTCTTTTATCTCCTAAAAATCTTATTGCTCAGTGTGTATTTGGAAAGTTATTTCTATATCACTATTGATGAATCCTTTGCTGAAGGTTTTGTTTCAACAAATTACTGAAGTTCTGCACTATAGCACAGATAGAGGGGCTTAAAAATGAAAGAAGAAGGTTGAAGAGATGGCAGAGGAACCAGGTACTTATTTTTTTAAGTTTTGCTTTTGAGCACCAGGGGAGGTTGTAAGTCAGTTTGTACAGAATGAATCTTTTAAAAGATTTTAAATATTGTCTTGAAAGGTAGCTCAATATATCAAATTATAACAGTACCACATAAATCAAATTATGTTTTCTTGTTCTTTGATTGAATGACTGTGAATGTTGAATTCTGTGAACTGCATTTGCTCCCCAATGTAATCTCCTGTGAACCACATACTAAAGTAAATTGCTGCCTCTGTACAACTGGCTACTATTTCTGTGGGTAGCAGAGAAAAGATTCTATATTCCTCTTATTTATACAAAAATTCCTTACCCACTGGTTCACCATCCCTCTACGTGTGAGGAGAAGCAAACATTCCTTTACAATTTTTCCAGCAGTTGATACAGGAATTAAGGAAGGGCTACAGAAAGAGGGAGGGGTGTCTAGTGCAATAATAACAGGGAAATGGATTTCCCCCCTTAAATTAGTTAATAACTAGAGTAGTTTTTTCTGTTATCATGCATAGTGTTTTTCTTTCCTGGATTTCCTAACCAGTGGCTTTCTAGAAATGAGCTCTACAGTGATTTTTGTTCATTGTTTTGATCTGTAATTGTGTTCTCTAGATGGCATGAGCATTGCAAGGTCAATTAAATACTCTTACCCCAACTGTTAGTACTTCAGAGAACAAGCCTCTTTTACCTGATTTATTAAAATGTGGAGACTCAGTGATCATTTCACAAGCTCAGAATCCTTGGACATTATTGTGCATTTCCAAACTTTCAGGTGAGTTTGGCTTGGAATTATTGTGAATCTACTTTTGAAACACAGCAGTGCTTTAAAAATGCACAGTGTCAATGTCTTACTCTATTTATAGATGCCACTTCTGAATTGCATGGAACCTGTACAAATTTTGCTGTTAGATGTATTTCATTATCAGTCAGAGGGCTTGGACCACTATTGACGTGTAAATAAGAAACTTATTAGGCATCAGCTTTTTAATTATAGGAGGTTTAGCTTCAGTGGCAGCAATTAAGTTTCTTGTATTTGGGTAATTACTTAAAGCTGTACTATATGGAAGCTCTGGTTATAAAAGAAATCTTATGGTTATAAAGAAATCTGTGCAAAACATAATCCAGTTTTATACTAAAAGCAGTTGACATTAAAATGACCCTACATTCAGTATTGCTGAGAAAACCTTTGCAGAACACCTCAGCCAGCAGAGACAATTTCTAGTGGAGTCTAGAATATCAACTTGGTTTCTTTTAGTAATCATCCCATCCATCTTCCTCTTTCTGACCTGCTTAACAAACTAGAGATACAATTCCAGGACAGTTACTATTTGCTTATAGAATCTCTTGTTGACATTCAAGAACTGGTACTTCGTTAAAAATCTCTGATCTATCTATTTCTGCTGTTTTGTTTTCTTTTTTGCTACTACTTCTTGTAGAGTCACAGCAGGAATTAGTGATTCTGATTGCACTATAGAAAGGTCCATTTATCCTACTACATTTAATAAGCCAATTTAGCTGACAATAAATCTCTCCATGCACTGCAGAGGATGATTGCACTTTTCTTCCTTTAGTACTGTAATATAACTCATTTGAAGGCTAAGAAACTTATAAATGATTCTGCCTTATGTTTGAAAACCCTATGGATGTTTAATTATTACTGCTTGCTCTCTAATATCTCCTTTAAATTTTATTTGTTAGTGTATTTATATAATTCAAAATGCAGAATCCTCTTACTGGTGGGTCTTTAAAGTCGTCACCTGCATTTAAAGTGCAGTCATTCTTTTGAAGCAAAGTGTAAAGAAGAAAAAAATATCTCCTCTGGCCAAAGCTACTTGTTCCTCAGGGACTAGAAAGGCCTAGAAATCAGGATTTTATTCCTCCTTATTTAGCACCTGGAATGGCATCAGTGTGAGAGCTCTTATAACACCGAGTTTGACAGAAGACAGACATTTTGGACCAAGGACCAAGTTAAATATTTCTTAGTCGTGATAGTCATAATCACGACACGTGCACATAGAAATTCCACTGCCGCCTATTCCTTAGTTGCTATCTTTGGAAAAGCTGAACTTGTGCACTCTGAGAAAATAGAATATGTAAATGGAAAAATGAGTCATGTATGTTTTGTAAAACAAAACAGCAACTCCCTATATTTTCTAGGATATTCCTGCTAAATAGAATAGACTCTACTAAATGAGTCTTTGTGCACAAAAGACTGCAATATGTTTCTGTGGAAGGATTCCTTTGTCTTGCTTGATCTTTTAGCAGCAAAATGTTCTAAAATGAGGAGGGCTCTGGAAACTAACTTCTAGATTTGCATGAAAAAAAGATCCCAGGAAAAATAAATGGGATTCACAGAAAATGAGTTAGCAGAAAATTTAAGAAGGTGGTGACTTGCCGTATTTTTGCCCCAAAGTAGCCAAAGATAATAAGCAAGACTCTGAAACTTTGTATGACTCTACCAAAATTTGTGGAGGTTTTCATATGTTCCTCTCTCTCTTTTTTTTTTTTTTTCTTTTAAACTCTGCATCTAACAGTTCAGGGTTTCAAGATCTTCTTTACTTCTCTGAGGAATAGAAATCCAGTTCAGAAGAAAAACAACAACCTGCAGACTATTAATCATGTGTGACATGATTTTATTACCCAAATATTAGAAAGCTGGCTGAACATTGGGAGCCAGGCCAGCTGACCAGGCACTGCTGCCTCACTGGCTGTTTCAGCACAAAGCTGCTTATTTAAATACTGGACATGTGCTTTGGCCTTGTTTTCTAAACGGGACATAAAATTGAAAAAGTTCAACAAATACTCAAACTTTCACAGTTTCCAGTGCTCTAGGAATTACACAAGTTATGAAATCAGCACTTTAATTCAGACAAGTATCTGTCATCTTTTGATTGATGATGCCAATAAAATACATACATTTGTCTGCTGTTGAGCTGCTAATTTATTAGGAGAGAAAGACTCACTGAGTTATTTTTTACAGGAGGAGGACTGATTTGGAGGAAAACCTCACATGAATTTAACATTGTCATTTAATCCACAAAGAGTAAGTTAAAGCTGAATTGTTAGGAGATGGATGTAGCAAATGGTTGATAATTTTTGTTTTAGGTGATTCTGAGAAGCAAGTTCAGTTCCTGAAGGATGACTTCAGCAACCATTTATTCACCATGCTGCCATAGAAAGATTGAAAGGATTTAGGTTTGTATTTGATCAGCAGATGTAAATGATTTGTCTAAAGGATCACTTGTGATGAAATTAAGGGTGGCAGGAGAGCTGGGCTGCCTCTGTAAGCTCCTCCACTACTGTGCAAAGCCACACTATCAAAGTACTTTCCCTCCCGCTGGAATTTCTGTGGAGCCAGGCAGGGACCCGAGGCACTGAGAGCACAGCAGCAGGATGGTGTGGTGTGAGTGGGGGGTTCTGGTTTGAGTCCTGCTATGGAATCCCCAGCCTTTGCCTTCACCTGTGGCAGGGAAAGCCAGGGCTGCCATGGCACAGCTCAGGGGACCCCAGAGCTGCTGCTCTGTCCATGTGCTAAAGAAACTGGGGATGAGCCAGCTTTGGCCTGGGAGCTGTGTGTGCAGCTGGCCCCATCTACCCCCCTGTGGCTGTTTGTCTATGGTTTTTGTATATATTGATATATGGGCATGTGTTCTGTCCAGTGTTTACCCAGACAACACACAGGCCTCTCATTCTGTATGTATTGAATGCCCTGCTTCTAGTAGGAAGTTATTTTTAAAAATTAATATCATATAACTGTAGCTTATGTTTATTTTCTTGAAGATTTAGAGGAAACTGATGTAGAACTTGTTTCTAATTTAGGTCCTTTACTGTTTCATTTAAGGAACAACCAGAAATTTTGTAATGTGACAGCCTCTTGAGTGAATATTTTGTTAAGAACTTCTGCTTTACCAGCAGTCTGGTTTTATCAATATGAATTTTAAAAATAATTATTTTTCTGCCACTATTCTGAGTGTATTTGCTTTTCTATTAGCATATGCTGGAATATTTTTATTACTTGTAATTCAACAAGTTTCTTCTTTGTTTGTTCTTATCTTTTCTGTTTGCTGCTTGTAATAATGTGCTGATTTTGCAGCTTGTAATGCAGGTCTGGTATTTTTTTTTTTCATGAAATAAGGTTGTGTAACACATGATTCTGACCTCAATTTGAAACTACAGTGGATGAAGCAGGGATTATTTCTTGAGTTAAATTCTGTCTGAAGTATGGGCTATGAGAGAACTGGAAATGCATTGTAGGACTTAAATTTCCTGATAGAATACAGGTATAGCTTTCAAAATATGACAATTAATAATACAATGGTTTTGACAAGCAAAAGAAGAAAAGGTCTTTCTTTTTCATCTATAAGAGCTGCTAAACAATTTAAACAATTTTTATTTTCTGTAGTATGATGTCATCTATCTGCTTGCTTAAACTAAAATTAATATCAGATTATTGTTTTAATGTAATTCCATATATTTATGAAATATTGAGGTTCTGCTTTGCTTGTACAATTACAGGTTGCAAAGGAACAAAGAACTGAATTTTGGCTTGGCAGTTGAAAATAATTTGTTTTCATTTTTGGTTGTGTAACTTCCTTCCCTGTGTTAGTGACTTCACAAGACAAGGATGGAGTTACTGTTAGAGAGAGCATATTTACCTAATGAGGATGAGTATTATATTTTCTTGTTTTCAGATACATCTTCCCTTTTTAGCTTTCAATTGTCTGCTGTAAGAATGAAGAAATCTGAATCAGACCAGCTGAAGCAAAGTCTTTCCTGCAGCCTTGTAACCACACAGGCTTTGCAGTATGAGCTCTGTGTTGTGAGATGAGTATTGATTTTTCTGCTTAAGTGATACAAACTATTTTAAGTCAAACTGAAAAAATGTAGTGTTGAATCCAGCCACTATGTACTATTCTCTAATAACATTTCTGAACTGGAGCTGCTGTAAATTTCTAAGAAAAAGTATTTCTCTATATCCAACAGCTAACCATTTTAGATGCAAGAGTGGTGTTTACTTTGGAGAAATTAGTGGTAATAAATGAGAGCTAATTCAGAAAACTGTTTGAGACTCTTTTTATGCAGTTTGCTAAAATTAAAATAATATTTGTTCAGATGTTATTAGTGTTGATGTTAAACAAATATAAATATTCACAGCACTGGCTGTAGTTTATGAAATTACTGAGGATTCAAGGCATTTGCTAAACTAAATCACAGCCATTTAATTTTGATAACAGACTTGTCTGTTTTGAAAAGTCTTGAGAGTCTATAGTGGTACTTTGAAAAGAAAATGATCAGGGTAAGATTACAGTAGTTAATTTCATGATGCATTTGAAAAAGGCAGTAGGAATTGTGCTTTCAACTATTTAGTGTGGTGGAACCACCACGAGAAAAACTATGAATCCCCGAGTCAGCATTTTAGAAGTTAGGAATGGTTTTATTATGCAAATTTCTTTGTTGCCAAGATCTTCAGGAATGTGTGGACACAAAGGCTGAGAAACAAAATTCTGGTTCAAGCAATCATCTTTTTTAGAAATAGTGCAGATCATAGTGTTGGATAATTTGGTTATTCCTACTGAACGTGATCCTTCATGAATACAGGAAGTATCAAGGACCATAACACATTTCTACAGAGCATTATCACAGAATCAGAGAATCATTAAAGTTGGAAAAGACCTCCAAGATCATCAAGTCCAACCTTAGGCTGTTTGTGTGTTAACTCCCCCTTCTCATGGCAATCAGAGAAATTTTTGCTCTTCAGTTTCTTAGAAAAACTGCAGCTTAGTCTTGGTGAGAGAGAAACTATTTTAACCTGTGGGTAAAAGTAAGCCTGATTGTTATCTGATTCCTGTAGTCATTACAGGAAAACCAAGCATCCAATTCCATCTACAGTCATAGCTATTGTACAATATATGCTTTCTTTACATTTACAATATTTCTTCCATTGCTTTGAGCTTAATTATATCCAACTGTCTATTTTGATTATGGATCGGCAATGTGAAAAAAATTGGCCAAATATCAATCTGATTATATTCCAGAGAATTCCAGAATTCCCTTCTGATATGCAAACTGAGTTTTTAAATTTTAACTAAAAGCTAATGATACAGTTATAGCTGTGAGGCTGGAGATCATAGTAGATGAGGATTTAATCCTTTTAAATGAGGCATTAAAGGATAATGAAAAGTTATGAGTCACTTTTCCTTAAGTTTTATTCCCAGTGGCTACATTTCTAACAATACTGGTGTGCAAATATAGGCATGGTAATGTGTGCACAGAAATGAACACAGACCTCAGGCTGAAATCATTATGAAAATCAGAAAGTCAATTTTGTGGTTCAGGATTTATAAAAGATCATTAATGGCTATGACTTAACTATTCTTTGTCTCCTGAAGCTACAATGAAGGTATGTGTTAAAGAAAAGCAAAACACAGAAAAAAAAAAAAAACAAAAAACCAACAAAAAACCCCAAAAAAGAAAAGTAAGTAACAATTTTCTGCCTGAATCCCTGTTGCTAATTTTTGTTTTTGAGAGGGGGGAAAAAATACTCTATTCCCTACATATTAGAGTTTTATAGCTATTTTCTCATTCATAATATATGAGTTATCAACAGAGATCTCAGTTTTAATATGGGAACAGCTTAGGAAATAATTCCTTGGGAATAATCTTGGGGCAAGCTACAAAACTCATGTTTCATACTTTTTATATTGTGAGTAACATATTTTATATCAGAAATAAAAGCAATTGATTTCCAGCTTTACTGTCCAATTAAAACTTTCTGATTCTTATGAGCTGGAACGGGGTAATTCATTATACCAGCAAATTGTATTCTTTCCCAAAGACAAGAAGTGGCAGGCAAGTCATTTTTACAAATGCTCTTTACATTCAAAAGAGATCTAGTAAAGATTAATATTATGCAAAAATGTGTAGTTTCTGGAATGAAGAAAACATTCAGCTTGGAATATAATGTAAAGTAAGCCTGGTGTTCAGGGTGCATCCAGAGCTCAGGGACTGTTCCTGCTGTGCAGCCACAGCCCCTAAAGGAACTGCCCTCAGATACGCTCCAACAGCAGCATTAGAGAAGGGATAACACCAATAACATCACATTTGTGTCAATAATCCCTAAAATACCACAGGGGGTGGAGCATGTAATCTGCAATCAATAATTTAGAACATTTAGAACATAACAGGGTGCATTTCTATGTCCCTTACAGATGACTTACTCTGAGAAGTTTGTGTGGCTATAAACTTCTTTATCAAGGCGTCAGTAGTTTGTGTGTAAAGGCTGAGAGCGTATTTGAGGGACTGTAGGTCTGGGCTCTTTTCCAGGAAATTCTTTTTCAGCCCACTTCCTCCAGCATGGAAGTATTGCTAAAATGAAAAACAAATATGGTTGTTCACAGAGGAAAAAAAAGGCCTCAGTTTCAGACATACAACTTTAAGTAAAATTCTTAAATGAATGTTTAGGAGTAGCAACAGGCATGTGTAGATTTATTACAGCATTTGAGATAACTGTCATCATCTCTAGTACAAAAGCTTCTTTCCAAAGGTAAAAAACAAGCATGAGGGGAAGAAAACCATATACAAAATTTTGATTTTCTTCTTCATGATCTGAAATATTCATTTGCCAAAACTGGACAAATATTTGAAGCATTCTTTTAGATTGCAGAGAGTGGAAGGAGTTTAAGTTCTTTATCTGAAAAACCTCAAAACATCACAAATCCCTCTCAAATGAAGGCCTGGTTTAAAAGCATAGAGAAAGGATATATTCCTTTTTAGGGAAAAGGGAGTTTTGTAAAAAATTTCAGAGAGAATACTCCAGAGTGTGACTTTTTGAGTAGCAGTGTGAGGACTACTGTTCTACTGGCACAGATAGATTTGGAAAAACAAATATGTTTATGAATATGATGCCATGCTGACTATGTAAACTATATATATATATATAAACTATATCTAAAAATGTACTATATTATGTTTTCAATCCCAAAGCTGAGTTCAGAAAAATTAGGGGTCAGATTCTTCCCTTTTCCCCCTCACAATGAAGAATTTCCCCCCAAGTTTTATACAGCATAATGCACATTAGCTACAATGAAAAGATAAATGTGCTACATACCTTCACTTTGTTCAAACACCTTGCAAAGCATTTGGCAACTGCCATTACAGTTCTAGGTCTCAAGATCAATAAAGCTCCAATTAATGGCTAATCAGTAAAAATAAGCAATGTTTTTCAGGAACACAATGGTTACTTGATGAGATGCAATATTGGCCCACTCAGTACAGGGAGTGTGGGGACTGCAGGCAGAACCTCCTGTCCCTGCCTTTTTGCAGAGTTGCCAAGGAAGAGATGCAATATCTCCATTCCAGCTCTCAAACACACATCTCCCCTAACTGCTGTAGCCCAGGCTTATCTGGATAGCTCAGACCTACACTCCACATCTGCCCTCTGCATTTAGTGCACACATTTCACTTTCCAGTTCTCATGATTCTGCAGGAGATGAAAAATAAATGTTTCATAATAGTTATTTACATTTCTGTATTGCTTTCTACTGACTGTTAAAGGGAAAAAAATATCTCTAGGAGCAAAATGGGATATGAAGTAATCAGACTGCAATATTTTAGATTGTTTTAATACTATGGGGACAGTTAGTATCAGTTTAAAAGGTTCTGAATAAATCTATCTTCTCATCATAACACACATATAAAATGTGTATCTTTCCAAGGAAATTATTTCATACAATAAGTTCCAAATAAATCTCTCATCTTAATTGCTCAAGAGTTTAGTCATTATTTCACTAAGAATCATAATCAATTTATAAGCAAGTGTTAAAATCTGTTAATATTTCTTGCTATTGGGACAATTTTTTTGAATTTGTGTCTCCCAGTAAAACGTTATCTGCAGCAGCAGCTACACATGGCTGAAAGCTCCATGAAAGCTAACAAACGTATAATGAAACAAAGACACCTGACCCTTGTTTTCCTGAGTTTTGAATTTTTTTTTTTGTTTTTCCCAAAGATGGTAAATTTTGGAAGCAAAACCAGCAGTGTGAACGTATCATTACTGCATAGAACTGAGTATAGAAAAATGAGTAAACAGGGTTTTACAGAGTCAGCTGGATCTGTTCCTTAGAGACAGAACCTTGAAATCTTTCCCCTGCTACTCCTGCTCCTCTCTGAGCAGTTTCAAGGTTTGTAGGTGACCCAAGAGGTTTGAAAGTCACGCTGACAAATGCAAGGGGCAGAGGTCAAGGGTATGGAAATCAGTGCTGGAGCCACTGCAGTCTCAGCCCAAACCTGCCAAGGGCCACACAAGCCCCTTTGGGTGCTGGATTCTCTTTGTAGAGGTCTCTGGGTGTACAGTGGCAACTAGGACAGTATTATCAATGAACATTGTCCCTGGGCTGACATAATGAGGTAGCAGAGAACTCAGTCTGAGGCCAGAAAGCCACGTCTCCTAACTGTAAATTCCAAATTAAGCTGAAAAATATTAAATAATTTTATATATATGTATATATATAAATTGCTATGGTTCTTTTTACAGAATACAAAGACTGATGTTATACTATATATATTTAAAATTAAAAAATATTCCTTTACTTTATATTTGTCAAAGGATTACTAACACCATCCACAATTAAATTATGATTATTTCTCAGTGAATTAAATGAAAGGAAAAATAAAAAAGACTGTAAGTAGAGGTACTCTTCCCTGAAAAGCCCTTCCTTAGCATAATCAGCTAACCCATTTCTGAACACACACGACATGCCATTTTTACCATTCTCCTATCCTTATCTGGGTAACCATGATTTCTGCTTTAAATAAACTGCATTTACTAAGCATTACCAAAAAATTCTATATTTTGATCATTAAACTTATGAAGTACATTCCCAAATAAATATAGCAGTCTTTTTTTTCTTGAGTTAACTCATAAAGTTTGTCTTCTTTCACTTTTTACCAGTGTAAGCCCAATTTCTGCATGATCAAGGTTATTTGTTAAGTATTTTGGAAATGATTTTGCCATATTAGCTTTTAAATACAGGCAGTTATAATGCACACAGGCATTGCCTTACAATTTGAAAAGAGGTTTCTCAGGAAGCATTCTTCAGCTCAGTTAATGAATGCTATGAATTAACTATTATAATTTAGCACACAGATATAAGGATGCTGAATTAGAAAAGGGATTTTTCCTATTTAATATTTTTTCTCCTAATCTAGATGTTTTTAGTAAAATGGCCAACACCTTTCTATCCATCTGTAAGAGTTTAACCACTGGAAATTTAGGCAAGGGTTAGAGTTTATTTTTTTCCCCAGATTCTATTTGTTTAGAATAAACATTTTGAAAGGAAAATGATTAGATTCACATACTTTACTTCACACGCTTACTTTAGGAGCATACTTACAATTTGTTCCATTTTTCAATTTGTTTCCACAACATTATTAATCCCCAATTATTTTTATTTCTGAAAGAAATGTCAATTGCACTACAAATACAAAAATGGCAATTGGTAGCCCTCTCTGTTGCTTTTTGTTTGCCTTGAAGACTTTTATTGCAAACCACTTGATCATAAGTATTTTCTCTTACTTATATCTTCAATTTTATACTTCACTAGCTGCCTCCTTACCTTCCTGATGTGCTGTCTCTTCCCAGCAGACAGGAAAATATGCTGTTATTATAGACACTGATTACTTTTAAGTTACTTACATCAAGTAATAATCCAGCCAATGTGAAAAAGACTGATAAGCAAATTAAATTATAATATGTTAATTAATAATATATTAAATATTCCTAATGACTACTTTTGACTTCAGAAAGCAAATCCATGAAGACTGTAGGGAAGTGTCCAGTCTTTTATCTAAACAGCAATCAGTCATTGTTGGGCACTCCAGCCCAGAGCAGAAAAGCACAGAAGCTGCACCTTTATAGTAAGCAGGGCCACGTCCATTATTGCACACTGCCGCAGGGTCAGGCTTTTGGCTTCCTCTCGGATCACATGGTCCTGCAAAGCAAGACAAGACTGCACTTGGTTTTGAAAGAGAGACAATATTGCGAATATCTGCTCTCTGCAAAACAAACAAACATCTGCCAAATGCCCCCCAAGGACTATGATTAACAGGGATTAATTCAGAATCCTTTCACAACAAATTATAACCCGGAGCAATGGTGTTGTTTCTTGAAAACATAGACTGAAGAGAACCAGATCCACTATTCAATACTGAGCATTCCTTCTTTTCCTAAGGTGCATTATTTCTCTCTTTTGGGGGATGGGGGAAAGGTGAAATTTTAGCTTAAAATAATTATTTTAGATGATGCAGCAGTAATTAATTTTATTAATAAACCTGAAAGTTTAAGAGATGTTTGTTAATGCCGTATGTTTAAAATAAAGGGGAGTTCCTATTAGAACATGTTACACATAGAGTGACTACACTCCTGTTAAATCTTTGCCTAAATAAGCAGTCTGTGATTTACTTAGGTAATATTTTAACTCATCTAGCAAACTGAAAAGTCATTCATAGAGGGCCCAAAATACCACATTTCTGTACAAATCTGAAATAATAATGACAGAATTGACTTGTAAGCTACTGACATCAGTATCAAAAGTCTCTGCTGTCCATCAAGTGGCCTCCAGCACTGAAGTGCTGAAGATTTTACTGCAGAGGTATATACTGTGCTTCAATGCTCATAAATAGCCCACAGAAAGAAAATTACTGGTATTCTCAACTTAAGGGCTTTTTCAGGGTTGGGAACTGGCTACAGAAGCAAAGATTTTTCTTTACTTTTTTTTAATTTTTTTTCTTATTTTATTTTTTTTATTTTTTTTGTGATGTATAATGTTTGTAAGGCCTACTTGTGCAATATGGGAATGATGTCTTCTTGACCCATGTACTGATCACTTACCATGTAAGCATAGAGTCTTCTCTTCATAACTTGGTTTTCATGAAACTGTACAATAATTATTCACCTGTGAGTAGTTACTGCCATATTCAACTTATGATACTATATAAGAACAAGAATGAGGTATGAGGTTTGGCCTCACAGTCACTAATATTTTCTCCTTTTTTTTTTGTTAGTGCAAACCCTTCACAGCTTCATCTGGCTCCATTACCTTGAGTTTTGACAGTTGTCCAAGGTCTTTGGCTGCACTGAATATCATCTGGGGCCCCTGTAATCACATTGAAAATTAAGGAAACAGACTCATAACAGCATGCTTTCTTTTTATGTCAACACAATCTTATTTTCTGCTAGGACATTGGCCAAAGTCATCGTTTTGCAAAGCTAAATAAAAGTTTCAGGTGCACAGGAGACACATTTTCATTCAGTTGATAAGGCCAAGTGGTTGAATGCCTGCAGCAAGATTCCCTCCAGTATCCTACAGCTGATACAAATATTGCACTTTCTGCTGAGAGTGGTTTTGTGTTCTCCTTGCTGCTGTCTCATTTTGTGTTTAATACTGAAAGCTAAGGCTGTGATTATTCTCAGTGTGTATCAGTGAGATGTTTGTCCATAACTGCAGCTCTCAGGTGCTGTGCTAACATGAACAATCACACTGGGAAGTGAGCAGCCCCGAGGAACCTGCAAAAACCTGTGTAGCAGGAAACCTCAGCTAAGTAAAACACAGCACAACGATGTACTGTGAGCCAAAGCCTTTTTTGAAAGAAAAGATACTGAAGTGTTATGAAGTTAAAGCAGTATTTTACAATAGCCAAACACTGGCATGACACCAAAGGCCAGTGCCTACACATTTGTCTCAGACAAACAGAATCCTACTGTAATTCCATCCTCATATCTTTTATCACTCCAATCAACATAATTACCAGTGCAGTTACATGGAGTTCAGCAAGACATAGTTCTGATTATCTGGATTTCAGAAAAAATGTTCGTCCAATTTATACTGGATTAATTTTTCATTAGACTTTCTGTTCCAAGTTTCATTTTCCAGAAATAATTTTGCTTCCTAAATGCTTCGATTGAAGAAAATGTAATCTAGAGCTACAGCTTAAATCTTCATTATTTTTTAGTAGCGAGAATGGTAAGATAAATATGTGCATATATATATATATTTATATGTATATATATATGTGTGTGTATATATATATATATATGTGTGTGTGTGTGTGTGTGTGTATATATAAAAGTGAAAAAATATACCCCGTTTCAAATGCCTGTGCCTCTCACCCTCAAACAGAAAGAAATATTCAGGGCTAGAAAATCTCTCACAGTATCCTACTTTTCAGTGATTTTCTTTAATTATGCTTTCAATAGTAAACAGAAGTACCAAAAAAATTGGAAATAGTTCATGATGCCTACCAGAAACACTCTATATAGAGGCTACCACTAAAGAAACTCACCTCTACACAGATTGTCCTATGAATAATTGGTCCTGAATAAAGCTTATAAATGCTCCTAACACGTGATAGAAAATGCAGTTACCCAATTGAAATGCTACCTATGTATTTGCAGATAAAATTTGCACAGAAAGTTTGAAAAGCAGATTAAAGATCTCAGAAATGTAAATTTGAAACTTATTGAAAGAGAAGTTGTTTCTAATTATGCATAGTTAACAAGGTCATGACAGTAAATATGAACAAATTCAGTGACTGGAGTCCTGGACACAATCAGAATAGAATTTTTAATAGTTCAGGAAATTCATTACTCTGCACGATTTATACATTTTATAGCAGAGTTTATCCTGCCTGTCCAGCAATATTCTTTCATGCATCTTCAATATATTATAATATAATTTAATGATATGCCTTTAACTTATGGGCCCTGACCAATAGCTTTTTAGCAGCTGAAGTGGTACCATGGGATGTGTAACAGCAAAGTTACCAAAGGCACACTGTGGCAACATCATGGTTATCTTGTCATAAAATGGTCAATTTATTTTAAACAAGATTGAAAACAAGAAGAGTTAACAGTTATGTTATCCCAATCCCTCATTAAGAAAAACAAAACAACCACCCCCCAAAAAAAACCCCCACCAAAACAATACCCACCAAAAAACGCAAAAAAGCAATTATGAAAAGACCTCCAAGCCAGGCTCTCTTTGTTGATCCTTTGACAGGATCCGATTTCACTGTTGCCCTCGGCTCAGCCACCAGAGTTCACACCAGGCCATGCCCCACAGGAGTCTCCTGTGCAGCTTGCAGTGTGTCTGCACAGCTCCCTTCCCTCTTCCTGCCGGGCTGGAAATGCAGCTCTGCCCAAAGAGGACCTCCTGTCAAGTCTGCTATTAAAATACCCCAAATCTTTAGTGCTATATTTGGCTTAAGCTTCCTGATGTTAATTAAGTGCTGCTTCAAGACGAGGAACGGCACAGCAGGCAGGGCTGGAGGATGGGATGGGGCATCCCTGGCTCCACAGAAATGGAGGTGATTGAATTTCTGATGTGACTAGGAAGGGCAAGGAACACTCTTCATGTTACTGTGCACAGTGGCACTGAGAGAGAAACCAGATTTTAAACCCCTTGTATGAGAGACATGACTGCATTCCTTCACATGAATGAATGAATAAAAACTGCCCTGCGTTGGGGCAGGCAGTAAATGAAGGAGTGAAGTCTTCCTCACCACCTAAGAGCAAGCTGGCTGCACAACCCTGAGACACCAGAAACAACACACTGCAGCCCAGGAGTTATCCCTGTGGTCAAGGTACAAACAGGACAGTGTCACACCCCTTGGCAACACTGGATCAGGCACGTTATTACAATCCTTTATAGCAACTGAGAATTACTCTGCAACACTCACGGTTTGGTCTGTCAGTGGTGGAAGTACAATTTGTTTTTCTATTTTGTTTAAGACTAACTTCCAGAGCTCTTTCAAAACCCGTTTCAGAACTGTCTTCTCACAGATTTTTGCAGAGACACTTAAACTGGAATAAAACAAAACCACAAACCAGTCACCAAAACTAGCATTAAGGCTTCAGAGGTGCTCTATTATGCTTAGATTAATAGCCATTAAGATTTATATTTTCTTTACTAATAAAAATTTCTCAGTAGCTAAATTATTTTGCAATACTGTCAGTCAATATTTTTGATAAAAAGACTTGCAGATTACAAACTCATAAATCTCCAGTATCTAATTTAATGCTTAGTATATCACTGATGCATATTTATTGAAAATGCGAAATCATGATGAGTTATAAAGTTTGATGAATGATACAATTTAGCACTCCCACGCCCCTAAATTAAAGTTTTAGTACATAATTTGTTTATGTCTTAAAAATAAAGAGCAACTATCTCTCTTCTTTTGAATTTCCACTGGGACGTAGAACTGGTTGCTGACAGCTAATGCAAATTCTCAGCTACTGTTTGGAAGCATTTATTTCTATGTACTGACATGTCTGATCAATCTTGCAATCTATTACTTACAGTAGAATTAAATATTTGGAGCACCTTTTCCATCTTCATTATGAAAATTTCTGGCTGGGAAAACCCATAAGGAACCAAAGGGGTAACTTGGACTGTAGACCTCGAGTCCAGGATCAGTGCCAGGCTGCTTGTCCTCACAGCCACTTCCAACAAAAGGCTGCTGGTGTTTGACAAGCATCAAGGACATCAATGTGCTTACAGATGTGCCTGTGCTGCACATGGCCTTTCAGAACTTGCCACTGCTGAATGATGATAGCATAAGTTATGCTTATTTACAGAGGCCAGAATGAGTTTGGAGGCTCCTCTCAAAACTTTGTATTTTACCAAATATAAAAAAACTCAAGCTGTTGTTTAGATGATGACCTGGTTTTTGGTGACACAGAAGTGCATATCAACGAGCAGTGGGACATTAGGTACAAGCCTAGAACAATTGTCAGACAATTTCAGTATGGGAATTACTTTTGTTCTTCTGTTCAGCACAATCTCCATGACACAGCCTGTGGATGAGAGACCGTGCACTGGCTCATTTTCAATGACTCAAAACATGACAAGACATGGAAAGACAAGCCTGTAACTTATGTAAAAATTGCTCAGTGTAAGTAAGCAGGTTAGGCATGGGATTCTGCACACAGTGAATACTAGAAATATTAAAAATACTATAGAGTGCTTCCAGGTATCAACGGTGCTTCAGAGTAAAACCAAGTGTGCCTGACTGCAGCATCCAGTTCCCAGTCTGCCACACAAACCAGTCTCCCTGCCACACAAACCACTCTCCCTGCCACACAAACCAGTTTGCCACACTCACGTTTTGTCCAGAGAATCCATGAGAGGTCGAAGCACAATCTCAGCATCAATGGCTGCGCTGTTCTTATTGGCTGCTGCATTCCCATTTCCTCTCATTTGATTCAGTTCATTGCTCATTTGTCTTACACAATCTTCAATAACAAACTGGAAACTACAGGATGAAAAAAAAAAAAAAAGAGAATGAAAGAATTCCGGGAGAGAAAACAATAATGATAATTTTGGACCAGGTGGATGATGGTGCAACAGGACTTCAATATTTTCTGCAATGACGCGATGTTCAAAATTGAATATAGTGTGGTGTTACAGTCTGAAAATAAGTTCTACTGAGGATCATAGCTCATATAAGTAATTCATGCCATGTTTTTTCTTTTCCCTGCCTTGCTTCCATTCTGCCACAATTTTCATACCCGTGTAGGTGTGCCAAATATTTATTTTCTGAAAGCAAAATATGTATCAGAATCTATAGGTTAGATGTAATTGACTACCAGCTAGGAACAACTTCTGAAGATTTTATTTTTGGTCTGAAAGACCGATACAAACAGGTGATGATTTTTCTCTTGATGGTTAATAGGAACCAAGCTTTAATGTTATTCTTGAGGTAAAATAAAAAAACTGCTACTGATTCTGCCTTTTTGGGCTCAATTGGACTTTTGCCAGATTTCACAGTCAGTGCTATCAGAAGGTTTGTTACTTCTTTGCAACTACACAGAGTTAAAACATTTGGATTGTTTAAGATATCCTTCTTCAAAAAACCCCCTTGCTTAGAAGTACTCAGACTCTTTCTCCTGGGAGGAATCCTTTTCACTTCAAGGTGACTGTGAACTCATCCTTCCTCCTCAAGTTTGTACCTGCTCAGCTTTTCTGAAAACTGTTCTGTTTCCTAACTGATCTGGTTGAGTGCCTGACAGTCTTAAAGTGCTATTGATGTGATAATCTTTGGATAACATATTGACACAAAGCAGAACAGCAATTAATCAGTCATCAGGTGAGAGGCAGGAAGAGTCTCTGCACACACAGTAATTTGGTTTATGGGTTCATTTGTGATGGATTGAAATGGTTTAGGATTAGTTTATGAACAGCAATGCAAAACAGGTCAAAAAATATACAAGGCCTGTTTAGGTGAAAAGATAAATTGGCAAAACTTGAGGAAAGTGAAAGAGAATTTACTGTGAAAGAAAAGAAGCAATCAGTTGTTCCAGTGACATGGCTAAAAAGAGAATGCAAACCTCCATGTGAAATCACTGGAAAAGTCAGAAATGTTTCCAAATGCAATTGGAGGTACACTTACCTACACACTTTAAAGCCCTAGATAAAAACAACATGAGGCAGCTAATGGAATTGCTCATGGAAATTCTTGGGACCAGTTCCTCCAACAAAAGCCAAAACAATGCAGTTCCTCTCTTGACATTAGACATCTTTCCAACATTGTTAACCTCACAGACCCAAGCAGTAAACTGACCCATGAGGAATGTTCTAGCTATCTGGAGCATATCCTACACTGAGTTATTCTGGGTTTGCTGCTGCAGAAACCTAGTTGGCTCATTCAGAAAGAAGCCCTGGAAAGAAATAATATTCATGCACTGTCAATGATCCGAGAAGTAGAGCCTGGGAGCAAAAGTACAGCAAGACTATACAGCAAACTCTGCACACTGAAATATGCAGACTGTCCCCCCACACCGCCCATCCATGCATTAAATAAGCAAATACAGACTTTGCTTAATGAGCACCACTACAGCACTAATCCCTCTTTCTTAGATTTCCTTCTAATTTGAAGCAAAAGTAACTTATACCACAAGCACTGCTGGCACAGCACCATACTCATTCAGGACCGCAGTGTGCACTCTGATTAATGAAAGGTTTTAAGAGTAAGGCTCAGTAGACAATTTTTGAAGAGCCACAGGCAAGCAAATGACCCAAGAATGCCATTCACAATGACCACTTGAAGCAGGCTAAACGCAGGCAGACATCCCTGGTTGAAGCAGGCCACTTGGAAAAAGCTGTCAGTCTCAGGAAGTAACATAAACATGGTCACAGAGGAAAGTTTAACACAGCATCAGGCAAGAAAAAAGCAGGGTTTTTAGTTTTGTTTTCCAAAAAGCAGAACAAAAGCCATCAGCCTCACTTCTGTAACATGTTCATGCCCACAAACAAAATTCAGTTGTCTTTACAGCGAGGTTGCTGTTACTTGTTTTGGAGCCTAAACACATACACAGACAAATGCACACCACTCCATCAGGGCAGAAGCAAGCCATGCCTCAGGACATCCAAATAACCACCCAGACTTCATCAAAAGGGAGATTTTTTTGAGCAGGAATATTCCTCTAGGTTTGCAGTAAAATGGGTTTGTTACCTTGCAGCATACGTTACACTGAGTTCATCCAATACATTGCTAAGTTTCACCTGAAGTTCTTTTAGAACAACACTAGCTTCAGGATCCAACTGCAAAGAGATAAATAACATTATATTTGATTTATACACTAGGTTTCTGAGGTTTCCATTACAACCAATGAACTAAGAATTATGTTCAAAGTTACACTGCACTATGGAAAACCAAATGTGGAAACACCTGTTGTGACACAGAATTGCTTTAGCAGGCCTTGAAATACAATTACCATTTTAAAAAAATGGAAAAATCTTGGATTACAGTATGGAATATTTATATTGTTAGAAATCAAAACTGTGCCACTGAAAAAATAACTTTCTGTGGGATTGTGGAAACTGTGTTGGCAGTCACAAGGAGAGAACTACAATTATCAGGCCAGTGGTATTCAACAAGGCACACCAAGAGAAGGATGAAGGAAAAGTCAGTGCTCATGTTAATAGTAATGCAGATGCCTTCATATTTTTATTATTTTTGTACATTTCACTACTATTGGTATTTTGTTTTGTGATTTGCACTGAAGTTGTTTCCATATTTCATGTGTTTCCATAATGCAGTGTAAAATTAGAGCAGCCAGTACTGAAAAAGATGGCTTAAAGACTGTCATGCCAATTCTACTGACAGAGTATGTGGGAAGGGACTCTACCAAATTTCAGTACTGCTGTTTCTAAAAGCCATTAGGGCATACAAAATTCAAGCACAGAGTAACACATTCTGATGCTCTAATACAGGTTTTCTAAACATAGGAAAAAAGTTAATGCAGGAGAGAAATATATTTTTACATTTACAGGAATGAGGATCCATGCCTAGATATTTAATCAAAAAGGTACCCTATTGATATTGATCAGTAAACTTGTTTATTTGCTATAGATTCTTTTTCAAATAAAAAAATAATATTTTTTTTCTCTCCCTGATCTTTTGTACTCAGGAAAAATAGTTACAGCCCATGCTGGGATATGATAGATGATCACTAGGATCAACAGCTGAATGTGAATTAATAGCTGATGTTCCAGATCTTTCAGCTGTCTACATCAAAGTGTTAAGGAATGATTTTCAATGATAACCCTTAATTTGTGGACTCTGTTCTGCAGAAAGGTCAGGTACAGATCTTCTGACAATTTCAGAGGACACTGCACATTTAGAATACTTAATCAGGGCTGTTTCTACTTGTGATTTTCTATCTTTCAACTGCATGAGTAGTGTTCGGCACTTATTTTTCCTCTGGCGCTTCAGAGCACTGTGGTGGAGCAGGTCAGTTCTTTTAATCACACTTCAGAGACAAGAGGAAGTTGTTGCAGCACACTGGGTAATTTACATGAGACTAGACAGGAATTCTACAGCAAAGCAAACTGAAATAGATGCAATGATCTATTGTGTTTTAATCTTAGACCATCCCTTATCTCCTTAGAGGTTATGTGTGTTAAAATCATAGAAAATGCAAGATCTTCACTACAGGTTTTGACAAGAACCTGAAATAGGTGACAAGGGGGAATTACCACACATCCTTTAGGAGATACTCAATCGTGTGTAGCACTCTTCTAATCTGAGAAGCTCACTCATATTTTACTTATTACTCTAAGTACTTACTGTGACTACTTACTGATTTAATTTTGAATTACTTTGCATTGAGAGAACTTCTGTTGCTTCTGTATGTCTTAGTGTGCCTGGCAGATACACTTTGAGACAGTTCATACACTTAAAGTGATTGCTTTCCTTCATATGAAGAGCAGGAATTAAAAAGCTAATTTTACTGCAATGTCTATATTCGTAAACAAATTAAGACTTCACTATCAAAGGCAAAGATTTTTCCAGAAAATGCATTTCACTAGGGAATTACACTGTCTCCTTTGCAGGGATACATACAAACCCCAGATTTATGACCACTAGAATATAAACATTTAAAAAACACTGAAACACAAGCATTCACACTGAACACGGTACATGTCAAGAAAAACACAAAATACCAGGCAAGCAGAAGACTCAGAATTTCTTAGCAGATCATGCACAAACTAGAGAATCACCTTGTTACTGGGCCTACAGAGGTCAATGGGGTTACTTTCTATCAGAGGTGGTTGTGATTACCAGAAAACACAATGCATAGGCTAAATTCACCTGGAATTGAACTTAGTCTGGCCAAACTAGGATTAAATGCTAATGCCAGATTGTGGACATTACACACATTATAGAAGGGTGCATGCAACTATTAAACATTTTAGAGGCTTTGTGCTCACAAATTGCATGAACAAGTTTGTGTGTGCACAGCTGGAGGCATCTGGCAGGACCCCCAGCCCTGTGTGTACACATGCTCATGCTCATCGATGCGGTGGCACGGGGAGGAGTGTGACACAAAGAGGTATGCGGGCTGCCCGGCCAGGGCTCCACGCCTGGCCATGGTGGCATCACTAACAAGATGTCAGCAGGATTTTTAAAGCCTACTTCTCTTTATTGGAAAATATGATTTGAGTGTCTCACCAAAACTAAAATGTGCACTTTTCATTTATTTTATCATGTGCATTCTATGTGCTAATGATTGTCCTCAGGCATCATCCAAATATGCCATAGCATGACCTGCTTCTTCTTCCTGATATGGCAGAGCCTGGATGGAAGCATGAAGTGAGGCAATGCTGCTCAGCACCTGAGATGATGTCACAGAGGGAGATACAGACGTGAAAATGAAGAATTTATGGTACTGGGAACTTCTCTTTTTCTCTTCAAGTCTCGTTTGCTTCATGGAGTTTGACTAAGAAGGAATGAAAACTAACAAACTTCTCTGAATATAATTCAGAAAAATAAAAGGAAAAGGCTCTACTTGAGCAGATTATTTTTGGGAAAAAACCCCAACAAATCAACAATAAAACACAGTTATGAGTGTCATTAGTCTACCATATCTAATTTAAGCACCAAAAGAAAAAAAGACAATGCATTTGTCCCGTGGACAAATGTATTCTGGATTCCTTTTACAGTTCCCAGCATATGTGGACTAGCCTTATAATACATTGGGGTAGATTGCTCAGGTTTCCAAATTGGATTTTTTAAAGGAGCAAGCTTATTTAATTAATAATGTATAAATCTTACTTTTCTATCAATTCCTAATGTTCTTGGCTTTTCTAGGCTCATATTTCTGTTATTTTACCATGTTTTTAAATAGCAGAATTAATTTTTACCCACAAGGGAATATACTCATAAATTTGTTGGCACACTACGTAAGCTCTGCTGATTATGTATTATCAAAGAGATAATTAGAAGTTTGACTTTTTCTGAGTGCTACACAAAAACTGAGAACACATTTGCTGAACAGCTGAAAAAATACACATCGTAGTTTCCAAATTCTGCCTGTCTAAAACTGAATTTTTTATACAGACAAGACTTGGAAAACAGTTAAAAATCGGATCGATTTGGCTACTTTCAATATGTTAGATTGAGGTATTCCCTGCTGCAATTTAATGTGTGCTAGTATGGACATAATCTTGTTAACTGCAAATTTGGTGGTGTTTCTGCAGGAAACTACAGAGATGCAAATTACTTTTGCATGAGTTAAATGGAACCTCTCTAATCTGAGTTCCATTTATCTGCAATTTCACAGGTCTAATTACTTATAGTTTCCTATTGGGACAGCCTGGTTACTTCAGTTTAGAAAATAGTTTTACATATTTTCTGTATATCTAGCAAAGATACAGGTGCTTATCAGCTCCACCACTTTAGTGGTTCTTTCTGTCTCTGACAGACATCACCCTCCCTCCACCCACACCCTTGGGACAGTGAGATGGGAGATGTTTGGCTCTGAGTGCACTGAAAAGCACTTGGGGCTCTATACAAGATGTAGAGATGGACACTTCAGAACGATTCTGCTGGAGTCCAGTCCTCTGTCACCCCATTGAAGTCTTTAAGGCCACATATAGATTCCTATAGGAGTTCCTAAGCTTTATATGTAAATTTGGAGCTAAATTTACCAAAGTGGGAATATGATTTATCTGCAGTTAATATAATGTCATACATAAACAACGTCCTTTTGCTTTACACCTTGTTTTTGATCCTAATTACTGTAACTCATTTCTGCCATGTTCTGTCATCTGGTGTAAAGCAACACAAACATTGGCTTATCTTCTTTCTCTTTTATCAGCTTGTCAGACAGGAAAAAAATATTTAGTGTAAATGTATGCATTCCCATTGGATGAAAAAAACAGCAGATAAACCAAATTTCTATTATGATGATGTGTTCTCATGTTTTTGGAGTCGATTTAAAAAAACCCAAACAAACAGTGGCTTGGATGCACTTAACTACTATTTCTCAGGGCAGACTGTTCTCACTGATATGATTTGTAAGTACCTTCCCTGCTTTGCTGCAGCAGAAGAGGACAGTTAATAAAGAAGCTCATCTTGTTCAGACTATTTTATTTTAATGGTGGGGGATCTTAGAAACCAGTTTTTTTCTCTATTTATAGAGCTCCCTGCCTGCAATGTGCAATAAGCCTACTCTGAACAGAGGGACTGCTGCTTGATTGTGGTTATTCTGACTGCACAGTTTGAAAGACATACTGCTCACAGTGTGACACTGAGGAGATTAACAGCATTTAATTTTTCTTAGAATTAGTTTTGCTTCAACTGAAATAGGTCTCATTATTTTGCTGAAAAACATCTGACTTTTATGCCCTCCACAAGTGAAATATTAAACTGTTTTTTTCCCTTCAAGGAAACTGCTTACAGATTTTATTGCTGGCTTTGTTTCTTATAAGTACCAGTTCAGTGAGCCAAATTGGCCATTAGCAGTTGTGCCTTTGGAATAGCGAGGGGAATAAGTATTCCAATTGGAGGACAAACATTTTAGTGGCATTTTGATATGGGTGAAGAGAAATTGAACATGAATGTACTTTTCTTCAAGAAATTGCCCTAAAAGTCTGAATGTATTTTTAAGATCTTTTCTCTTAGACTGTGACTCAGAGATGCACTCAAGACACCTAATGAAGGGATTATAGAAAAAATTATCCAAATTGTCTCTGTGGGTTGTGTGTTGCATCATATTTGTAGGAAATTCTACTTTGATACTGTAACGACCTTAATAATTCATTCTCATTAACATCAAAAGGAAACCAAAAAGGATGAGAAGTCATCAGAACTTTTGAGAGAAAATTGCTATGAAAAATTCCTAACTTAAAAAAAATGTTATAGAAGGCATTAGGAGCAAATGAAAAAACTAATATTTTCTTGCAGAAAAGGGACATTTTAGGGATTCAAGCAAATATTCTGGTTGAAAATAATTTGAAAGAAATAGACATAAAATGTGACTCAGCTTTCCTCTGCCCTTGTCATTATCCCGATTTATGGACATTTACCTGTTTTCATGAATCATGACATTCAAAATTAAGATTGGATTCAAGACCTAATACAAAAGTACTTTGCACAGAACATAAAAGCATGGAGGACAAGATTGCTTGTAATATTCAGAGAGGGAAAAGGGTATAATAGGAACCACAAAAACAGCCACTTCTGCATGATGAATATCTATTTTAAAAGTTTGGTAAGAAATTTGCAGTGACAAGGCTGCAGAAGTTTATTTCCTGTTATCTGGAGCAGGAAATATTTTTGCTGTGGCAGCTTCAAGGAGCTGTTCCTGGCTCAGCAGAACCTCCACTCCCTGGAGTGGCTCTGTAGGTGCATCTGGAGGCTGCAATTCCTTGCATGGTACAGAGGATCCATCTCACCTCTGCAGGGTCACACTGAGGATGTGGAAATGTGAAATGCTGTGTTTTCCAGTTTTCTCTATATAGTGTGGCCACATTAGATCAAAGTTTTGTGAATCTATCAAGCTACAGCCTCAAGAAAAAAGAGGATGATGTATGCATAACTTATTTTTAAAAGCCAGCTACTGATAAAATTGGTAGGATATTCATGTTCTAAACATTGCTTCTCAACAAGTAGACAGGATTTTTTCTATGGCTTGAAGATACGTTAATTTCTTCATCATGTTTCAGAACAGTAAAAGACTACAGTCAGGAAGGTATTGAAGCACTGTTTATGTCCTTTTACTGTTGGACAGGACTTCAGGCACTTTTAAATCTTCTGAAATGAAAAAGGGGGTAAAGCTGAGGGTGTTGTGAACTGTTGAATAACAGCTCTTGGTGAAATGGTATCTTGAATATAAGCAGACCCTTAGATACTGAAAAGTGCACTTAAAATATTTTATAGATTTTTTAAAAACTCTGAAAGGCTTTACACTATCTGCCTGGTAAAACTTTTCAGTTTAGTGTCAACTGAATGCCCAAGCATAGCTCTTTTTGATTTTAGATCATAGGGAATTACACAAATGCATCAATGGAAATAAGTAGAAAATGTGACTGTTCTTAGCCTTAAAAAAGTATGGTCAGGAATAATAAAAGATGCTTACTATCACAAACCTCATAAGAGAATCTCTCTCCTTCTTTCTTCTGCTCAGTGGATTGCAAGTCAAAGGCATTAGACAAAGACAATGACACATTACAGACAAAACGTACCAATACATAGAAAGCAAAGTATACTCCAATACAAACATTAAAATAAAGCTGCCACTACAGATTGCAACACAAAACACCCAGTGCTGATAGAACATTACAGATCATTAGCATGTGTCTGTGAAATAGCATTATGTCATTCCAGTATTGTCAGGACAGTAAATAGGTCTTGTAGACTTTTTAAAAACATTTTGATTTTCTTTGCAAGTAGAAGTAAAAACTTTGACTAGGTTGCAAACATGGTGCTAATGATCTCTAAGGAACTCTGAATGAACCAGGAAACAGATGCAACTCACCTCCTTCCCTCCCATGGACTCAAACATTTTCTCAAGCTGAACTCTTAATTGCTGAATGTTGTTCATCAAGATACAGGCCTACAGAGAGAGCATCAAATGTGAGATCGTGCACCACCAATTCTTCAGCAGCCCTACATTAATAGAATTATAGAACCATTAAGGCTGGATTTCTAAGACCATCTTCATCTATACAGCTGTGTTTTTAGAGAAACTTCCTGTCCACTGCTTTCCCCTTTACTGACCCTTCCCTCTGCCTGCTCAGCCCAGGACTGCTCACTAAGAGCAGAGCTGCCCCACAGGGAACTGGACACCATCTCCCACTCAGCTGGACAGGTTTCAGATCTCAGAATTTCACATCCTGAGCTATCCCAGGTAGTTTCTAGTCATACCTAATACAGTTACATCTGGTGGATTAATGCAAGTAGCACATCATCAGTCTGTGGAGAGCAGAGGCCACAGTGATCAAAGTGCTTTGGGAGTGACAATAGGCTGCAGGAAAGGAGCTGCCACACTGCTTGCTAGACCCAGTCTTTGCAGAAAGCTGTGACAACACTGTAACCCAGATAATGGCTCCTGCTTAAGTATTTGAATAAATCAAGAGGCAGTTCCGTTAATAACAGAATAATATTTTAAAAATATGCATTTTTGCATTACTTGAAAAGCTGGTGAATAAATTAGACAATAGAACTCTGCAATCATATTACTTTAGTCTAGAAATGTTGCTGTTTAAGCTAATTTTTAAAGGCTGAACACTGCAAAGGACAGCAATTTCTATATTCATAGAAGGTTACAAGTAAAATGTTAATAAAATTAAGGAGCTAGTTACAGAAATCATGGAAGAAAGAATCTATTACTAGAATCTTGAGTACTTAGATGATATTATATGCTGGTTTGTTATGGTGCAGATGAAGGAATCAAAAAATACTAAAAGAACTGTGGCTGGCCAAGGCCAGTGTGTTCTAGTGCATGACTGGATTAATTTAGACACTGAGGAAAGGCATTTCAATAAAACACATATACTTTTTTCAGACAAAAATGTGGTGATGAAATGATTACAGTGATTGATACTGATTTGTACCTTTCTAGTTAATAGCATATTCCAATGTAGACCTGAAACATGATGGGATGAATAACATGATTTAGCTTTAATTATTAATACATTACTCTCACAGGAATTTGGTGTCAGGGTACTTCTCAAATGAAGAATTAAAAAAGAAATTTGGTCTAACTTCTTACCAGTCAGATTATTCCTTCCCAGTGAAGCAGGCTGCTCATCCTCCTACAGAATGCAGCTGCCTTTGTACAGCTGAAATGACACTTCTCTGCTCACCTCTTGAAAAATCCACAAATCCCACTTCTACCTACCTTCTATTAATTTACAATCACTAAGATTCTATCCTCCTTTCCTGTACTACCTCCTAACTTCTAACAAATTAATTATTTTGGAAATTATCTGCAATATCACAAATCAATAATTATGAGAACTATGATTTGTGATGGGGGTATAAGTAGCTGAATATAGCATCTTTAGCAGAGGGGTGGAAGGAGATGATCTTTAAGATCCCTTCCAACTCAAGCCGTTCTTTCATTCATAATGAGATTAATTTCATCTAAAGCCTTAATAAAATAGGTATAAGAGGATGACTTCAGAAATTATTAACTTCAACAATTAAAAAAATCCCATTGGATAGGCCAAAAGACTATACAAACAGCTAGACTTGGTGATTCAATGCTTTATTAGAGCTCATTTCTTCTAGAAATCAGTGAGCTTTATTTGATATTAACATTAAATTCATAGGAACCCCCAATATTTTATAGTTAGCTACAATAGGCATATTTCTAAATTCTATTATTGTGTGTGTGTTGGTGACCTCTAGACCATCACATACAGAGCACTGGCAGATGTCAAGCACAGGGATGTGACACAAGGACAGCTGAGATGTGTGACAGGCTAAGGGCTGTACCATTAAAGGTAAACAGTCTGAGGATGGGGCTGCAGTTATTGATCTAACTGCACATTGGTACAGCTGAGCAAAACACTACTGAATACAGCAGACATTGTGCTAAAAGCTGCCTGCCATGGGAGAACTAGCTTTGATTGAACATCAATGATATTGAAAAGCCAGGTCCCAAGAATGCTTTTTCTTGGTCTTATTAAAGTATTGAAAATGTTTCCATTTGCTCAACTACATCTTTAGTGCCCCTATCTCATTTATTTCTGAGTCCATGGCAATCTGGTCCATCATTATGAACTCCCTTGTAAGCAGTGAGGCAACAAAAGAGCACAATTTTCTTCTCCCCTCTGCACAGTGAGTGGCAGCAGCAGAAACCTCTGCACATGTTCCCTGCACAGGGAACAGTGATCTTAGAAACTCTCCAATGCACAAACTGATTCAGAGAGGCAAGGCAATGCAAAGTGAAAGCCCTAAACAAAGATATTTCCTTCTGTTTGAGAAGAAAGATGCAGATACATTCACCATATTCACCACAGTATTAGGCTGTTTCCATGGCATGTTTGTAGTCATCTTGTAATTATTTTATAACTTTGATACTGAAATTATTAACTAGAATTCTTAACTAATTTCACTTATTGCAGCTTTTACAAATCACTGTAAGCAGCTATGAAAACATGCTTCCTCCATTCATGTCTTTTCATATAAAGAAGTGATTACATTTTCAAAAAGTACAGTAAGTCATTTAAAGGTAATTTCTGAGGCAAAAAAAAAGCCCCAGCTTCTTACTCACCACATTTTCTTTATCACAATAGGAGCTGAAGTAACTTGAAATAATTGCAGCATACTGAACAAGTACTTTGTTGATAGTCTAGAAGAGGAGAAGACTTTTTAAAATTATGAATTTCATAATGTAAACCAAAAATACTAAAAGAAGAGGTTTTACAGGTGCTTACACACATAGTATATTATCTATTTTAGATATACTATAAACAATCCTGTGATCACATTTTCGAATCCCTGCACAGCAGATGGTGGGTAGTTCTTAATGTAAAGCAATCTTCTAGCAGAGATAGTTTAATTTTAGCAGTACTGTTTTTGAGAAACACTGGGAACTCTACTCCTTGCAATGTACTACATAATTAATGGAACAGTAGCAAGCTCAAAAAATCCTCCAGGGTGTCAATACGTAGACTAGAAATATAATGGAAATATAAGACAAAAGGAGCACTGTTCAAAGCCTGGCAATGTGAGTTACCTTACAATAATCATGTAAATAAGAACTCTGCAAATGGAGAATTGTTGCAATGAAAGAAAATAATTAAACGTGTGAACTTTTCTAAAGCCAGCAGGACTATAATGGAAATTCAGAGCTTGTGAGGAAATGTAACTATCCAAATGGAAAGCTGGCAGAGTTGAGTTTATCAAGCAGCAGGTGAATAACCACCACCTCGGGACTTCAAACAAAAATACTTTATTGCCACACCTTGAATTTTTCTTTCACTTGCACTGCCTAACTAGTTAATTGCATTTCACTGAATGGATCCATTAATGGAACTGCAATCAATTCTTAGCAAGATAACAACTGATACATACATGTATGTATAAAATACATAAATGTGAAATCTCAGAGAGGACAGAACTTCTCAAACTGGTAAACCATTTTGACAAAGTAGACAAAACCCAGCCTTAAGCCACAGACAGCATGTCTTTCTGAGGATCCCCGTCAGACAGAAAACACTGATTCTAAAAAGCATTGGAATCACTTAGCTTTTAAGTACGTGGCAACACAGTGTCATTCTCTGTGAAGCTTAGTTGAGATGCATTGACTTTAATTTACCTTTGCAAATCTTCTCATTAAATGAGATAGTGCTTCTGGATTAGGGCACTCCAATTTCTTAATAATCTCAAAGCTTTGATTGAGCTGTGTGAAGACATCAACCACAGAACAAGAGAAGAGGGCATGATCTGATGTTTGCTGAAACTAGAGAGAAACATTCAAATGTTAATATTTATTCAAAGATCAAAACTGTATTCATTGATTTTTATACTTGAAATTTCTCCTAGTCATAAAAAGTAGTAAAGGAAAAAAAGTCTTCCTGCTAATACTAAGACATGTGGCTTTTCAATTTTCTGATACTTTTGCACTTTTTAAAAATAAACCCAGAATTATCATTCATTACATAATTATCACATCATAGGTTAATGAAATGATACCATAGAATAAATTCTGTGGGGATTTAGGCAGAGAGAATTAAGGGGAATTAGAACAGGAATTTCTCTATAAGGTATCTTCCAAAAACTGTTGTCTCCTGAAGTCTAAGAAGGATGTTGTGTGACCAAAAGTACTTCTCGTTTTGTAATAATATGTCTTAATACTTTATTTATTCTCTTCTTTTAAAAAGTAAAGGCTCACCCCGTCTTTTTTGTCTCTTTCTAGTGCTCCATGCAGAAATTCCATTGAGACATCTTCATTTTCGTCCAGCCACTGTATGACAAATGGTTCAAACCACCTGAAAATTAAAAGCAATTTTGAAAAGTAAAGTAGGTAAATTTCATAAAGATCCCAAGAGAAGAGATGTCATACTACTCAGAAGTTTGGCACCTTGTGTTTTTATATCTGTTCTAATTGCTAAAGATTCCAACAACCCTGGAAAAACTTTTGTCACCAAATGCTGCAGCTGTCAAAAGCTTCAGCATATTTCAGGCTTCAGTTGCACAATACTCTCACTGGTGCACCCTGATGATGTAAAATTAGCAGTAGTAAATTCTCTACCAGTGAAGCATGGCAGGTCTATGCCTTCTATCAATATTGGCTCTTTGGTAACATTTATTTTTTATTTGTATATGAAATAATTTGTATATGACTTTGTTTTAGTAAAAATAAACTGCGGTGTTTCTTTTCTTTTATTAAAAAAAAAGAAAATAATAACAGGCTTCAAACCACCTCAACAAACAGCAGACTTGCAGAAGATTAAGGATAGCTCATATACAAGGACAGGACTGAATCTATTTATTGCAGGGAGAAAGGTGAAAACAAAACCAGCAGCTGAGTATTAACCTGATCCAATAAGAACAATTTCAATGGTATATCCTGTTAGCATTACAGCTTTATCCAAATTTGATTATAAAACAAATGCAGGGAGCTACAACTAATAGTGCTGCTGTTCCCACATCTCATTCCTTCCTCAGACATTTTCTCACCAAAGAATTTTGTCATCTCTGAAGACCTGGAGTTACAACAACTGTAGAAGCCTATGAAATAGCTAATTGCACATTTAACACCTTGACTATTTCACTTGACAGAATGAAGAATTAAAGAGAAAGAGGTGCAAAAAGTAGTTGTTGGGGCTACACACTTTGTGTACAAGATACACCTAAGCATAAATATTTGACCAAAATAAACCTTGCATGAAGCCCAGACTCAGAAGCCTTCCCAAAACACCACTTACAGAGAGTATTCAGGCACTGCATCCTTGAAAGCAGAGAGTTCTCGCACATATTCATTATAAAACCATTTCACTTTGAAGTGCAAATTCATATAATCTGTGCTTTTGCATAATCGCTGCTTTTCATGTTCTGTAATAGAAGGAGAGGAAATAAAAGCACTTAATGGCATTCTAACAGTAAATAACATCCTTGTGTCTCAGTGCACCAGTGACATAATAATAATACAGGACTTGCATTTTAAAGCATAATTGATTTGATTTTTCTAGAGGTAGTAATATCCACAGTTTCAATTTTCAGGATCTGAGTACCCTTAGGAAAAACAAAACAAACCAAAGACCAAAACCAAACTGCAAATTAGGCTTTTCCCCTCTCTTCACTGCAGTGAGAAAAAAACCCCACAAATTTGCTGACTTCCCATTCTTTAGATCCTTCTTTGGCTGTTATAAAATGGTTAAGAAGCTTTTGAGTGTCAAGTTAGAAAAGACAACCATAGCTGTGTAGTAGTCAGAGGAAGTAACAGCTATAAATGCCAGTCCTGCATTCATCAGAGCTAAGAATAAGAAAGAGAAAATGCCACAGCTCGACAGCCAGCTGATTTATGGCACAAGTAGAAAAGATGTATTAATAAAGTGTTTTTGAAATTTTTCAAATTAACTTCACCTTCTCCCTGTCCTCCTGTTTTCCATATACTGAATATACAGATGGAGGTAGGTGGCAGAAGTCATGGAGCCACCTGTAACCATTTTCTGCATTTTTGAAGTCTGATTTAATTTTCTTGGAACGAATGTCCATCTTTCTTCCAGGATTTTGATGCTTGTTTTGGCTTGTATGCTATGCTCTACATTGTTCACCCAGCTACTGAAGACCTGGGCAGCTCCATTCCTTCTCTCCCTTAGCTAACAGGCACTTTATCCTTGCTCAAATATTTCATTTCCTTCTCCCTCAGCATGAAACTAGGGATCCACAAGTTTTGGGCAGAATAATCATACCTCTGTTTACTGCTCACTGCTTCCTAAAATCTCCACAGATCTCATCTGTTGAGGTGTCATGTCACTTGCACATTCTTCCCTAAGCAAAGAGTAATTTCTTTCCCCAGCCCCCTTAAAAAAATGACCTAATACAGGTGCCAGCAGGAATGATGTTCTTGTGTAAATATTATGTATTAAGAACTTACCAGCTTCAAACCTCCTTTTTGCTCCTTATTTCTGCTTGCTTTGTAACACAGCGTTATACAAATCTCATACATTTGGATGGGAACCTAATTTTCTGTAACAGCAAGAGCATCCCATCCTGTGTCATACACTTGAATACATTGGATTCTCTGTCAGTGAGAATGCACTGTGAGTGACACATTCTGTGTTTTCATGTCTAGCCAGGTACATTAGAAGGAAATGTTTAGTTTTATTATTCTGCCACATCAGCACTCCAGTAGTACACCATGCCATCTGACAAGTTTCAGATGCATTTTATTATGCAGCGAGTTACTAAGTTTTGTGCAAATCAGCTTATGAAGTGCCCCTGTGGGCTTTTATTGCCTTTTTAGCATTGCAGTAACATTTTCACCTTCACTGCCTTTCCATCACACTCAAGAAAAATCAGTAAATCAGTTTCTGTCTAAATATTCCATTTATTCATCTTCATGCTACTTGAGAGTACTACAAACTCTCCCCATCTCAGTATCATTGTTAAACTAGCATTAAACAGGACCACAGAGAGAAAGATGGTGCCTTCTCTCATGGCTCTGAGGAATCTTTTTTTTTAGGTAGCAGGTTTTTCCACAAACTGTTACAGAAAGCTAGATGACAAAACTTTTTCTCTATAAAAGGTATTCTTACAAGGTAGACCAGTCTTTCACTGAGAATAATTATGTTATTGCTATGAAATTCACTGCACATCTACTGCAAGTCATTGTTAAAAATCTATCCTAGATTGCATCCCAAAAGAGTGGAATTTCTGAAATGAATAGCATTTTTTATTCATTCAAGCTTTGCATAAATGGATTGTTAGATCACACAATGAAACTTGAGAATGTTTGCTATACTATCAGAAACCAAGGAAATGTTTATTTCAATTTTAGAAATGAGTTATTGCCACTAATTGGCAAACTTGTCCAGGAGGGTACAACTTACACATGCCATTCACTGATATTTTCTTTTTAAGATTTATAACACATTAAAGATGAGCACAAAAGTAATTAATGAATAATTGAACTTTTTTCTGCAGGCTGTTATGTCTTGTAGAGAATATTTAAAGAGTCTCCCAGGATATTATTTCTAGTTACATATAAGGGAAAAATGCATCCAGAATTCCTGACATGAGAACACTTCATCATCAAACATCAGCAAACACTTCCCATGACCTAGGGAGTAATTTAGCATCCATGCATTTCACCTCTCCAGTTCATATCAACCAAAGAATGGAGCAAACAGGTGCCCATATGAGTCAGCAGTGACAATTTTAAATGGATAATAGATGGGCTTATCCATGGTAACCATGGATTTTGGTTACAAAGTACAGCAACATCACTTTAGGTGCTCTGAATTTGGATTAGGACCAGTAGATTGCTTCCTTAATTTCAGAAAAACTTGCACAAGATAATATAAATGTGAGTAAGTACAGGATATCTGGAAGCATTTTAGATATCTGTGTCTGTTTTCCTGGAGGGAAAGCCAGTGCCATGTTTCCCTATACAGACATATCCATTTTGGGCTTTCTGGAAGACAGATGTAGTAGCTGCACAATACAACTCTTTGTTAAAAAGTTCACTCTTATTTTGCAAAATGATTGTACTACTGAGTGTACTACTGCCAGGTGTGTCCAAACCTGCTCTCTGGAGAGATGATGACAGAAATACCTGAAATTCTCGTAACTGATTCTAGGTAAGGAGATCTCCAGTACAGCAAACCTAATGCTGATAATGTTTTTTTATTTTGTGCTGCTCCTTTTCTGACACATTCCTTGTAGTGCAGCATCGTATTTTTATAAGCATCTACTCCTCTAATAAACTTCATAAAGAGGTCATGTTCAGTTCCCATGCTGGCATATTGTGTACTACTGTGTCACGCATCAATGAAAAAATGCTGATAAGATTATTGTAAAATGTAACATCTCTAAACTTTAGTTGTGTGTATGGGGCACTTTAGCTGCTTTGAGGAATTGCAGTTCCAGTAAGTGTAACCTTTCAATATTTTTGATATCACTTGGGGGAATATCTCCTCAGGGGTGATGCTGTAATGCACATGTGCTTCCACAGGCTTGCAGCTACAAACCCTGACTGCAACCACCATGAAAACTGCAGGGAATTGTTCCATCTCACTGGCACAAATCACAGAGATGGGAACCCGCTTAAGACCTCCAGTAAGCAACAGCACTGAAGGAAAAAAATAAAGTCTGCTCCAATGTTATTTGTATGACCAAGAATGAAGAGAGATTTTTTAAAAGCTAGTACAGGGAATGCATTATTATATGCAAAAGAACTTGGTGTGTGATGAAATCAGCACAGACCTGGTGTATCTGGCATGTAATTTACTTGCAGGCAGCAGTTCTTTTAGAGAAAAATTTATAAAGAAACATAATAGAAAAGACTATAATCCAAGGTACTTTCCTCACAGGCCTTGACCAAACAACAGTATACTTGAATCATATTTGCTTATTTGCTCATTATTCCAGCAATTGCTCAAGAAAGCTGAGATGATTTTCTTAAAGCAACAAATAAAAGTCATAATAATGACTTACTAAGCTGAAACATCTACATGACACTAAAGACAATGTCATTTCACAAACTGGAATAGAGTCTTGTTCACTACAGAATCCTTTTCTCATTTTAACCTTGAGGTAATAACATCACTCTGAGTTTCCATGTAATTTTTGATGTGTATTAGTTGCTAAAAAAGGAAAAAATGGTACTCTAACAACCTTCATAAAAGATGAACATGTTAAATATTCAGATAATCAAACTGATACTTTGTTCAACTCTGATTTTCCTTATTTGTGTACAAAAACTCAGAGCAAATTTTTTTCTACAGCAGTTTCCAAGCCAATATTTTTTGTAAAAATGTATAGTTAAGCTGCTTGAAGGATTCTAATAAGATGGTTTTAAAGTATATTTCAAATCTTTATGAACAAACTACAAGGAAATTAGTCTGTGAAAAATGAACAAATTGGCTACACACACAAATATATTTATCTAAAAAAAAAGTGTCCCATTTTCAGGCTTTATAGATAATGTTTCTGGGATTAGTAACTACTATAAAGGATATTTATGTGTAGCAAATGAATTTCATCACAACCAGCTGGTTTGTCTGACAATGCATTCTATTACTCTACAGTTTATTAAACAGAAATGGTTGAGACTAAGCATATGGAATTTGTGTTTGGATTAGCTGGAAATTTTCCCATCAAAACTCAGCTATTATTTTCAACCATTGTGACATAATTTCATATTATTTGCAATAATTACTTACCAATCTTTCTAGAGACTACCAGCTGCTATCTATTTCTTCCAGAAGTGCTGTTTCAGAAAACCTGCTATTTTCAAACTTGCAGTCATATAATTGGGAAGGGAAATTGGGAACACAGAACTGAATACAGCTAGAGGATGAAAAGCTCTGGTAAGGAATGATATGGGCAGGGTATGAATTGGTATTCCTCCCTCTGAATCACTGTGGAAATGTTACACCAAGTGATGCACCTATGTTTTGGATAAAAGTAGAAGTTAATGTTCAATGCACGTGATCCCAGTGCAAGTTCCCCACAACACAGGAGCAGATGCTGTGGCTCAGCCTCTTTTAATGTGGGCATTATGCTTATTGTGCTCTAGATTTAATTCCTCTACTGTTGAAAGAAACCTAAAGCCTCTGATTGTATGACTGTAACAGCATAGAGGCCACAAATGAAAAGAAATTTAACTCAAAAGTCCATCGCTGATTTAGAAGGAAACATTACATTCTACTAGAATCTTGTCCCAGGATTCTTGTACTTTGCTAAAGGCAATGAAAATCGCTGGTTATTAACTGAAATAGACAGTAGAACACAACTAATTGATAATTGTGTATAATTTACATTGATTTTTATAATGCGAAATACTACTGACCTTTCTGAAAGGGCTCTTTGTGTCAAGATGAATGTAA